GGGGGGGGGTTATAAATGTCAGTTGTCAGTTAAAATCTCGGCCATTTATCAGTTCTCAGTTAGATTTTAGGCCATTTGTCAGTCGTCAGTTAAAGGACAGTTATAGATTAACTAGGCGAGTTAATTATTACTTTCCGACCCTACTTTTGGCTGAAAAGACGCATAAAGCGTAACTCGAAACTAACTGAGTCTAAATTGAATACAAGTACTCCTTTTCGTCAATTCTGGAATGAAATAATTCCAAGATCTTCCAAGTGACTTTCCAAGTGTCTTTGTTTGAAGGGTTTTTAAGTAAGTTACATCTCTTCTTCACACCAAACTCTGTTTGCCCATTCGCAACATACTCGAAAGAAGATCATCAGAAAGACAGAAAAGTTGTGAAGAGTCTTCTGGCTCAATATATTGGTTTACAGTGAGCCGATTGCGATTAGCTCCGATGAAATGATCGGAAAGGAATGTTCTTTTGTCTACTTTTCAAGAAGGTTATTAGAGACATCTACTGTAAGCGTACCTTAGAAATCCAAGCGAAAATGGGCGCGAATTGGTCGCCCGGGTCTAGAAACCGTAATTGGGGTGATACCTCCCTCCTGATTTCGGACCCATGTGATAAAGTTTCATACCAAAATCTCTGAGGTCATATTTATTGGACAAATCCTTCAGACCAAGGAACAAAGTTAGGTGCTTTTTCAGCGCCAGTGCGGCGTTTACATTAATAATAGCTATTAACGCTCGAATGCCGTTTCCGAATCAATTCGACGAAACCTTTCTACAGTTTAAAAAGTAAGTTGACGATCGAGTTGGGTATCGAAGATCATATAACCGATATGTGACATATGACCATGATGTGGATTGTCCATGCTGTAATTATAAACGAAATATGACACTCTGGCGTACTCCTCCTGTTATGTTATCAAAAACGTACTTTTATTGGATAAAATAAATAAACTGTCCTTATTTTACATCCAGTTTTCAGGATATTTAGAGCGATGCGATCATTTGTTAGCTGTCAGTAAAAGTCCACCACAAATGTCAGTTGTCAGTTAGATTTTCAGCGATTTGTCAGTTGTCAGTTAACCCCATCCAGACCCTCTTTGTTGTCATTCCATGTGTGGCCGCCGAGTAACGGGGAGGTGACGGGGGCACATTCCGCCGGGATCCGCTTGTTTGAATCTCAAAGTACACTTCGCTTTGTTTCAAGGTAGAGAGCGGGCATATTGGTACCAAAAATAGCAAAAACTATCCAAAATAACTGATCAGTGTACGATTTTCTACGAAGTGGGGTTAGGGTTAGTGTTACCTCGATACGAGTTAGGTTCACAAAGCATTTATGGTGACGTTTATGCAAAATATTTACATACACACGATCCCTATCATGAGCGATTTCAAAGCATCATTTTGAGCGAGACGCAAAACAACTCGAAATACTCTCATTGGAGCTAGGTAACCTAGCCGTGGCTTTCTCCTCTCGAGCGCGTTTAATTAAAACTTTGTGAATATTCTTTCATTACTATGCTAATTTTTGCCATTCTCGACGAGTAATTTCTCGATCCACGTTCGGTTTCAGTTGTAAATTCAAAGATCTTAATACCTAACAAGCTGTTTAGAGGGTGAATGGACAGTGACAAGCCCAGAGTGCCATGTATATTTGGCGGATTATGACTGTTTTTCTCAACAGAATTTTCTCGAGAAAGAGTTAATAGAAGCGATTTTAATTTTCATAGGGATAAATTCTTTTTCATGTTGCCTGACAGCTGAATTTTCACCAACGTCGATGGGGTTAAAAAAAAAGAAGCAAACCGATATTAAATGAACGTGCAATATTCTGACAGTTAAAAGGAAAAGAAACGAAAAGGAAAAAATGCAGCGTGTCTCCCTTTTTGAAATGTCACTAGGGCCTAGCGAAATTGTTCCATATATTTTTCCAGGATTGGAACAACTCGCCCAACTGTGGTTCTGCGTCGGTGGGGGATTTACAAGATAATTTGGTGGAATCAACTGAGTTAATAATGCACAGTGGCAACCGTAAAGAGTTTCTCAAGCTGACGTTTCGAGCGTTAACCCTTCGTTAGCGCGAATATTTTGTGCAGCATGTTGTAGTTCAGCACAGGTAAGTCCTTAGTCATAATAACATTTCAGCGCCACGTGGTTTTAAACCGACCAGCCATACTTTTAATCGATTAGATTTCTAGCCCCAGGCATCTTGGAGAGACGAGCCTGACCCTTTCTCGTTACGTTGCGCAAGGAAAATATACACACATTCTCTATCGTTGAGATGGTTAGGTGGAAATGGAACAAGATAAAGAACCCCTCAAAAAAGTCGTTGGAGAAATCTACCCATAATGCCTTTCACCCTCCATCTCATTTATAAAATGTCACGCATTATTTTTGCACTAGTGATTCTCTGTTGGCAAAGCTTTACTTATCCAGAGACTCAGAAAAGGAGGAATTTGGACTCTAATTGACACCTTTTGGTATATTTGCTTTCTGAGAGGATTTTGTAAGTACTCATATTTATTTCCCTTTTTTTTTGCATTTGTACTTCGTGTTCTACCCAACGAGCACAAATTATTGGCGAGTCAACATAACCGGCCTCTTTGTTCCATGGAGAAGTCGTTCAACCTTCTAGCCATTTTGACCCCCTTTTACAGATATACTTGGGAATAGATTGTTGCACTATTTTTCTTCGACGGAGATCAGGATGGAAATTTACGCGGTCGAGCGAACGAGTCGATTGAACAATGCTGAATCAACGATTTCGTTCAGTTTATGTCACCTTACTTTCGAATGACAGCTAAGCGTTCAAATAATAAATTGTATTAGCCGTTCTACACGCGATCAATTGTTCAATCTTTTTCCTTGCCAAAACTTGGTACGCTGCTTTTGTGTTGACTTTTTCAGACAGTCGAAATACAATTCCCAGCGTTACCTATCTATCGTACTTTGTTCCTCATATCAACAAGACGCTTCAAATCGATTTACGCTGGAATGTCAATTGGAATGGAAAACTACGAGATCGCCATATACTGTACATTACACTAGTATTAGTTCTTTCGCTTATGTTAGATATAATTTCTGATATTGGGCTTCCTCACTTGCCAAAATGTAAAAGTATTTGTGGCTTCTTTACATATGCATGATGTTCCAAACAAACATGAAACGCATCCAATACTAATGACTACTTGTGTCTTTTAGTTTAGCATGTGTCTCCACAAGAAATTCGAAAGAATATTCTAAACTTCCGCTAGATCTTGTTAGTTAACCGAAAATTGCTACATTCCTGTATTATATTCATCAAATCTATTTGCAGGCTGAGAGATAGCTTGTCCAGTATGCTATAACTCGTCACACGTGACACAACTTTTTAGAATGAAATTTGCGAATGAGCGACTGATGAGGCGTTTTCGATGCCTCAACTCATTTGTCGAGAGAAATTTTAAGGAAGTCAAATGTAGTCTAATATGCGACGAAGTTTATTTAAAAATAGTCGAATTTATGGCTGTATTTTCCCAAGGTTATTGAAAGTTGACGAGTTTGCGATCTCAAGGAGGTTTTTGTCTCGAAAGTCGACGAAGCTGCCACTTCAGGAATGCGTGACGAATGCGGAATGAGGCGCGATATTTAGGAAATGAACTCCTTGGGGCGGTTGGTATGTCGGCTGCTAAAGTCCGCGGCTGAGAGGTTGTCCGAAAAATGAATATTTGGCCGAGAAGCGAAGCTTCGAGGGCAAATATGAAATTTTGAAGACAATCTCTCAGGCAAGGACATTATCAGCCGACATACCAGCAAGCCAGAACGGGGTTTATTTATTTTATAACCCTCCCATTAATTTTCACATCGCCATTAAACTGCGCGTAAACACAGTAAAAAAGCCAGTGGTGATCTGATGGTGAATGCGCGTGATTGACGCAAGCAAGCAAAACTGAAAACCAGTTTGGTTTCCTTCCAGGTAAATAGGAGAATGGAAAAGTTGAAACTCTTGTGTTGACTATGTTTCTTCTTCACAGAAAAAGTGTATATTGTGTACGTAGTTTATATTGTATATTTATACACTTTAAACACATGTCTATTGTATTAAGTGTATATTCTGTGTAAAGTGTTGGGAATTGATCACTGAGTTTGTACGAAGTCAAGTGAATGAATGCTAAAGTGATAACTGTGCAACAGTCGTCTTTGGTAAAAAAGGTTAAACATTGAACAAGAATGGCCTTACTTAAGACCTTGGAAGAGCTGATGATTGTCGACTAGCAAACAAGATTCTTCCAATGAAAATTGGAGAGCAGATCACCAGAGAACACTTTAGTCAAAAAGGCAAGAATGCAATGAAGGCAATCATTCTTCTTCCATATGCAACCTGTTGCTGTAAGAAGAACATTAGAATTAATTCCAGGCGGTCATATCCAGTTGTGTATACCATGTCGGGTTCATACATCGGCGCACTGTTTCATGGCAAATGTTTGTCTTGTAAGACCAAATATTACCCATCTTTTAAAGTTTTGAACAATGGAAAGAGGGTTTATGCTGATATACAGGAGGAATCAAACTTATACTTTCAAGTAACATCAAGTAGCATTTTCAGTACTTCGCTATGCACAGCAATAAACATCCAAGGCATTACTGAAAGCTTAGTATTTACTTTCGATTGTCCCAAAAGATTGAAAAGACAAATACAATCAAAATATTAACCAATGTCCTTAATTTTGAACAATCAAATGAAAATACTAAAAGCCTTATTTAGAAATCTAATAGACACTTTTTACAGAATATACACTTTATACAATAGACGTGTCTAAAATGTATAAATATACAACTGTATACACTATATACACAATATACACTCCATCCTACAGTTCACTTCTATACTCTGTAGACACTAATAGACACTATATACACTTTATACAATAGATATGTGTCTAAAATGTATAAATATACAACAGTATACACTATATACACAATCTACACTCCATCCTACAGTTCACTTCTATACTCTGTAGACACTAATAGACACTATATACACTTAATATAAGACAGAATATACACTTTATACAATAGATATGTGTCTAAAATGTATAAATATACAACATTATACACTATATACACAATCTACACCATCCTACAGTTCACTTCTATACTCTGTATACACTAATAGACACTATATACACTATATACAGAATATACACTTTATACAATTGATTTGTCTAAAGTGTATAAATATACAACAGTATACACTATATACACAATATACACTCCATCCTACAGTTCACTTCTATACTCTGTATACACTAATAGACACTATATACACTTTGGACAGAATATACTCTTTATACTATAGACATGTGTCTAAAGTGTACAAATACCCAGCTATATACACAATATACACTCCATCTAGGCTTGACTTTGGCAATATACACTATATACACAATATACACAATATACAATTGACTCTAGGCTTGACTTTGGCAATATACAATATACACAACATCCAATTGACTCTAGGCTTGACTTTGGCAATATACTCTATATACAATTTTTGTATATGTTGTAGTTCAATTTTATACTTGGTTCAAATTTTATTTTCCTTTGTTCTTGGTCATGTTAATGTATGATAATGAATTTGAAACAAAGGAAAATAAACTTTGAACCAAGGATAAAATTGAACTACAACATATACATGTGTATATTCTGTATGTTGATATTGCTATACTTATAAGTATATTTATACAGTTTATACGTTTTTTTGTATACATGTGTCTATTCTGTATATTGATATCACTATACTTATAAGTATATTTAATATACAGTTTGTACATTTTTGTATATATGTGTATATTCTGTATATTGATATCACCATACTTAAGTGTATATTAACAGTTTATACATCAAAATATACAGAATTATATTCTGTATATTGTGCAATACCCCACCTTAGTGTAAATGCGATAACTTTGTCCAATGCACAGCGTCAGAAATAACACACATCAACTACATCATTTATTTCAACATGATGAAAATTACAGTGGAGCTGATGTGGTCGTGTATTTAAAAGTTAAAAGTATTATTTACAGGTAAATAAAAAACTTAAAACAATTAAAAGTTAGAAAAACCAATTAAAAAATTTATATATATATATATATATACCAAGCTATTTACATGAAATTCTACATTTAAGCTTGTTTTTAAACAAGTAATAAATAAAATTGTGGATTTATATTGCGCCGTTTCCATGACGGGATGATCAATTGCGCATTACAACAATGCATGGAATAAATACTAATTACATCATTACAACAATGCATGAAATAAATACTAATTACATCATTACAACAATGCTTTGTAATAGATGCCAGTTACATCATGTGTAGTATAAAATATTAAAAGCTAAGCTAACTAAGAATAAAAAGCCTTCCTAAAAAAATGTGTCTTTAAGAGTTTTTTAAAAGTGTCAACAGATTTAGCCATTCTAATCTCCGAAGGTAAATCATTCCAGAGTTTTGGCGCCGAAGCAACGATAGCACAGTCGCCTAGGGTTTTTAAAGTTTTAAAATTTGGGTAAGATAGCAGTATTCTGCCATTAGAATGCAGTCCATATCTTGAATTTAAAGGCTTAATTTTGACAACATCATTGATATAGGACGGTGCGGATTTGCGAATGGCTTTGAAAGTTAAAAGTAGAACCTTAAAATTAATACGAAATGAGACGGGAAGCCAATGCAGGTGACGGAGCACCGGTGTTATGTGGCAAAATTTGCCCTGCATAACAACAAGTCTGGTGGCTGCGTTTTGAACTCTCTGCAGTTTGTCAATATGGCACTTGGGCATACCGTTTAATAGACTATTACAGTAGTCTATTCGGCTACTAATAAAGGAGTGAATAAGAGTCGCAGCTGAGTCCATTGAAAGGTGTTTCCTTATACGTCTAATATTGTGTAGGTGATAGAAAGCAGCACTGCATATTTTGGTAATGTGTACGGCCATAGTGAGTTGATCATCGAACCACGCGCCCAAATTCCGTACCACAGACACTTTGCCTACATTGCAGTCTCCGACCCTGATAGTATTAACAGCAACTTTTTTCAGGAAGTGTCTTGATGCTATTACAATAAATTCAGTTTTGTCGTCATTAAGCATAAGTTTGTCCGTGGTCATCCACTGCTTAACATCCGAGATACAGGTTTCCATTGATCTAATTGCCTCGTTTTGACCAACAGCACAGCTTGGGTTGAACGATAAATAAAGCTGGGAGTCACCTGCATAACAATGAAGTTTTGGAAGGTGACGACCAACAATGTCGAAGATTTTGCTTGAGTATATGTTAAACAAAACGGGGCCTAGACACGATCCCTGGGGAACGCCGTAGCTAAGAAGAAAGACATTTGAAAGCGCTCCCAGAACAGATATTCATTGTGATCTTCCGGCTAGATAAGAGCGAAACCACGACAGAGCAGTTCCATGGAGACCAAGCTTTGATCTTAAACGTGTTAGCAAAATACTAGGGTCCACAGTGTTGAAGGCAGCACTCAGGTCTAAGAGAACGGGGAGAGTCACGTGCCGTTTATTCATGTTAATCAGAATGTCATTGTGAACTTTCACCAAAGTGGTTTCCATGCTGTGAAATTTCCCGTATGCAGACTGGAATGCTGGATACAAATTGGTCTTAGCCAGGTGCAAATGAATCTGGTCTACAACAGCACTCTCAGTGAGTTTGGAAATATTGGATAAATTGCTGACAGGGCGCAGATTCTTAAAATTGGACGGGTCAGATCCACACTTCTTCAATAAAGGTGTTACTATTGCCTCCTTCAGATAGTTTCAGACACTTTCAAACTCTTTCAGACACTCAGTGGTGCAACCAGCACCAATAGATCAAACCGATAGTTGTTGGCTTGCAAGAGTGCAATGACTTCTTCCAGTGTAGTAAAACTCGTAGCCGAAGATTCAAGCTGTTAATTTTTGTCTTTTGAGAGCATAAGAGATCTATTGCCTCCTCAAGCTTCTGCTTTTCAAGAGAATTCCATAGAGATATGGCTTTGTAACAAGTGGACTTGTGAAGAAGTTCTGAGTTTGGCTTTGGTAACAAAAAAGTAATAGAAAAACAGGTAGAAGCAATTGCTTGCTGTGATAGTCAAAATTCATTTACAAACCAATTTTCTATTAGGTGTCCACAGTGATTTGAGAGCAAGACAGTAAAGAAATAAAAGATATAAAATCTGTGACCATGGAATCAAGGGGCTTGGTGAAGCTTTGAGTTTGTGCACTGAGTTCTTCCAGTTTATCACTTATGGAGTTATCCAATTGTTCTCGTTTCTCCTCACAATTTTTGTGTGGCATGTACAAAGTGTGTAGCCACATTATGACATGATCAGATATATTTATTTATTTATTTGTCCACAAGAGTAGAGCACATGTCACGTGGTCTAGTGTCATAAGGCATACTAGTCTGAGTCAACCATCTTGGTCGTAAGCATGGACTCAAGTAACTTTTTTTCAGGTGGTTATATCACGAGTTAGTTCTCCTCACACAAGCCAATGCACCCATATCTGGCTTGTGTTACTAGTGCAGCTTGTGCGAGATCTCTTATGCTCTCAAAAGACAACATTTAACAGCTCGAATCTTCGTCTATGAGTTGTACTACACTGAAAGGAGTCATTGCACTCTTGCAAGCCAACAACTATCGGTTTGATCTATCGGTGCTGGTTGCACCACTGAGTGTCTGAAAGAGTTTGAAAGTGTCTGAAACTATCTGAAGCTTCCTGAAAGTGTCATAAAGTGAAATAAGTTGTATTGTAGTTACATTCTCCTCACACTGTTGAGAAATGGGGAACTTTTGAAATATGCCTTCAAAGCATATTTCAAAATGACAAAAGTAAGTATGTGAATCTCAGTTGTACAATACTGGTCAAGGATTGGCTTTTATGACAATTTTGTAAGAACAAAGGATATCATATCATGTTTTAAGGATCATTTTTGGAGTTAAATGCTTATGATGTTCCATTTAAATGTATTTTACTTGCCAGTATCAAAACAAGTTGTTGGATAACACAAAATGTGTAATGATGTAGTGTTTTGGTTTACACAAATGATTTTCTGCAATGCTTGTATTCCATTGCTTATAGGAGCCTAGTAGTTTACTGTTTCAACTGAAATGTGTTTAGTATTATGTTTTCCAAGTAATGCCCAGAATTATTCAGACCTTAACATTTCTTAACTTCCTGTAAACTTGGCAGTCTTCTAAATTCTCTTCATAATGGTCCAGATGAGCATTGATTATTTAAACTATGTAACAAGACATGTGTGTTAGGCCTTTATTTGGTAGACTACAACTCCTTTTCAGTCACTTGTTTGGTTTTGGTTAATTCATCACAATACTGATATACATGAAAAATTACACTCTTGATTGGCTGAAAACAGCTAGGTGCCTTTTTTCATGTATCACTAGTTCAAAAGTAATTACTCAAGTACAAATGTAAACCAACTGGTAGGCTCAGCAACAATAGATCGCACTAGAAACCAATCATTTACACAAAGTAGGTTGTGCTGATTGGTGCACATAGTAGCTGACCAAAATAAACAAAAGCTTGAATTTTTCAGGTGTATTGACAGACACTGACAAAATTGCATTCCTGAGTAAGATTTCAGCTGAAGGACAAATTTTGATACCATGTCAAGTTAACCATTTACATTATGATTTCAAGTTCAACTATTCATTTCCTGTCTCCGCATAGCTTGAATTTGTGAAACACACTGGCATGAAATAACAATATAAATAATAAGAAAACTTGAAAGATTCTGGTACTTTAAATCATATGATGCCATCATGCACTTGCCTGTATAATGAACTCTGTTGTGTTTAAGTTGTGTCTCTGATTACTGTTCCTGAAATCTATTATGGTGTCACTTATCTCTATTGAATATTCTGTTAAATGAAACCTCCTGGTCAAATTGTGAATCTTATTGGGTTAAAAATTATTAGCAATTTTAATGTAATGTTATTTCAGAGTACTACCTAACATATGATTCATAACAAAGTTATGAATCATATCAACCCTCATCTTGAAAATGAACATTTCAGGACTATTGCAAGCTAGTTATCTTATTTTATCGATGAACAGGAACAATATTGAAAGCTATCTAACTGTAATCAGATATTAGCTCTTCGAGTAGATACTCAATAAGACACCATACACGTGTACGCATTGCGGAGCTATTTTTGGAATAAGCCGAGCGCGGAGCGGAAAAAGTTTGCGATCTCAAGGTGTCGTTTGTCTTGAGGGGAAATTAAAATTTAACATGCAGAGAAGTTTCTTGCGAGTTGCAAATAGATATCAAGGCTTTGTCTCTGGACGAAAATAATCTGAATGTTGCAAAGAGCCTTTCCAAACTTTTACAAAAAAAAATTAGAGGAAAAGCTTATTTTCGGCATTGGCAAAAAGCAGAATATAAGCAGAACAGCTCTCCGAAGGACAATCGATCAATTAATCTTTACTTAGCCACAGAATCCTTATCACTAACAAGTGGTCTTCAAAAGAGCCGTGCACATTTAAACTAAGACTTAAAAAATTAACCTATAATAAATACTTAGATAGAAGAATCTTAATGTACAATGTATTAACCTATAGTGTACAGTGTATTAACTTATTATAAAATCCTAGATAGAAGAAACTTAATGTACAATAGCGGAATAAAAACAATTCAAAGTTGTGGCCTGCTTAGCCTCAGCTGACAGGCTGTTCCATGTTACTGCGCCGCTATAACTAAAGCTTTTCTCTAGGGCCTCAGTGTTCGGTCGCGGAATAAAAAGGTTATGTTGCGCATCTCTAAGATTATACCTGTGAATAGTATTAATGCTAGCGAATTTTTCAGACAGGTATATAGGTACAAGGTTATTTAAAGCTTTAAACATTAAATATTTCAGTTGCTTTGCACGTCTGTCAGCGAGGCTATCCCAATTAAAAGCATGAAGAATCGGGGCAAAGCTTGCATCCCAGTTAGACCCTGTAATTATGCGTGCAGCCCTGTTTTGAAGTTTCTCTAATTTTTGGGAAAGACCATTACCAATACAGCCCCAAACAGCACTGCAATAATCGAGATGCGGAAGAATCAATGATTTATAAATAGTAACAAGGGTACTCTGGGGGACATATCGGTCTTAGTCTCCTCAGGGCAGCTAGTACTTTTGCAACTTTACTGATGACTTCAGAGATGTGAGCCTCCCGCGAGAGTGTTTCGTCAACCTGAACGCCTAAGTATTTTTAACTATTGACTCTCTCAATTGAATGCCCATTAAGAGAAATGTATGGATCGCTAGGGAGTAAAGAGATTTTGTTCCTCGTGCCTGTAAACAGACTTAGTTTTGAGGACATTAAGACTTAGACGGTTAGAATTGAGCAATTGCTTCAGATTGCCCAATCATGAGTCAGGGTTGAAAACAGCTCATTAGGGTCTTTGGAGGCAAATGTGAGATTAGTGTCATCAGCGTACATTCTCGCGTCCGATCGGAGGTTACAGTTAGGGAGATCATTAATGTATAAAAGGAAAAGTAGGGAACCAAGAATTGAACCTTGAGGCACCTCGCAACTTATGAGACTAGTTTCAGAATTTACATTATTTATAACCGTAACCTGGGTTCTATCTGAGAGGTAGTCTCGGAAAAGATTGAGACTAATACCTCTAAACCCATACAGCTCCAATTTTGACAGAAGGATCTCACGATCAATAGTATCAAAAGCCTTCTTTAAGTAAATAAACAAACTGGCATTTGTCAATCCGTTGTCGATATTGAGATACCAGTTGTCTGTAATGTAATTAAGAGCTGTAAGGGTAGAATGCATAGGTCTAAAGCCAGACTGACATTTCAAAAATAGCCTATTATCATTCAAATATGAATAAACCTGGTTAAAGATGGTTTTTTTCAAAAAGTGTGGCCATTACAGAAAGAACAGAAATTTGCCTGTAGTTGGCTGGGTCAACTTTCGAGCCAGTTTTGAAAATAATAATTAAAAAATATGTGTAAGGGAAGACGCAATGGATGAAAAAGAAAGCTTTAAGAAGCAAGCTGGAATTACGTCGAGGCCATCAGCCTTGCCCACGATAGTTATACTCATAATATCCTTACAAGACATGCAAAAGGTCAGTTCACGAGTTCGATGCCGTCAAAAAATTGTATCGTGGGCGCTTAAAAGATAAAACAAACCAGTTCCATGAAGAAGTCATACGCATCGATGAAATCCCCGAGGGTTAATGCTAACTGATAGTTTGATTTTAATCTGAAACCCCTTTTTCGAATTTTTCTTCACAGGTCTTGAGACTGTTATGGCGAACAAGGAGATGGGTATTCGGTGGCTGTTCTAGAGCAGCTTGGCCAAAGTGCAAACCCCTTCTCCGTCTTTGGACACTCTGGTTCAGCTTACTTGACATTCTCATCGTTCACGTAATGGCAGACAGCTTCAACTTTACTAGCCATGGTAAATTGTGGAAACTTCTTCTGTTTTTGAGCGTTGTCTGTGTTTTCTTTTTGCTGATGTTTGACAGCCAGACAATAAAACCTCACAAAGGTCCAGAGCTTAGAAACGTTCATAATTCCAATGAAGGGTAAGTTCTCTCCTTGTTTATTTCCCACTATAAAGTAATGTTTCACTCTTTAACTTCCAAGATCTGATTGTTCATTCTCCTCTATGGCTGTTCTACATTTCCTTGTAAATTGGTTATGGAGATTTGGTGCCATACCATGATACTAACTTCTACCTGATCAAACCAATCATTGGGCAGATTTAAAACAATAGATTCGTTTTAATCCGGCCAATCGAATATTGAGAACAGTAAATGAAATCTTATTTTAAACACCCTTAGGTGTTCTTGGCAAATATCTCTGACTTTAATAAAAGGTCACGTGACAGACCAAACCCGGCGAGAGTTGTAATTATTGTGTTTACGTTGTTGATTTTTTTTTTCTATATCTATTTATCAGGACGGAAGAGGTTGGAGGACGAACGACAACAACAAAACCAACAACAGGAACAAAAGCAACAGGAAAAGAAATATCAACAACTAAATCTACCACTTTAATTACCACATCGACCACACCTACGCCGAGTGAAAAAGTCACTGAAAAAACGAAATGTTCCCCAGAACACTACGTTCTTTTCTTAAAAACACACAAAGCAGGTTCAAGCACATTGGCGAACATTTTCTTTCGTTATGGCGATTCTCGAGATTTGTCTTATGTTCTTGGCTCGGACACGCTGATTGGATGGCCGACGCGTTTCCGTATTGGACAAGCTCTCGCTTTCGATGGAACTCGGCCGAATTTTCTTTGCAGTCACACAAGATTTAATAAGAAAGCTATGAACCATTTGTTTCCGAAAGACGCCAGCAAATACGTGACAATCATCAGAAACCCCATCAAACAGTTCGAGTCAGCTTTTACCTACATGGGAATCGGGAGAAAGTTTGGTTTTGGGGGAAACTCCGTAGAATCTTTAAAAGCGTTTCTAAGGAATGGAATTAGTTTCAGCGACATAAGAAAATCAACTTTAGCCAGAAATCCACAATTGTTTGATCTAGGTTTGGATTTCAAGTTTTATCAGGATGCCAAAGCCATTAAAGAGTACATTGAATTCCTGGAAAAGGAGTTTGATTTGGTTTTAATCTCAGATTATTTCGACGAGTCTGTGGTTCTTATGAAGCGATTACTTTGCTGGGAATTGGACGATGTGCTTTATGTCAAAAGCAATGAACGACTAGACAAAGATAAATCTCCTGAACTGTCTGATGATACGAAAGAGAACATCAAACGGTGGAATAAAGCCGACATGTTGCTCTACGAACACTTTAACCAAACTCTTTGGCGGAGAATAGAAACAGAAGGAAAAGATTTTTTTGACGACCTGACGAACTTTCGACGAATGAAAGAGGAACTTAAAACAAAATGTTTTTCCGACAAACCAAGTATGCAGTTAATATATGGCAACAAGTATGCTAAAGGTCTCACTTTAAGATCGGATTTGCCTTCTGATTTAAAACAAAAATGCGGAAGAATGACGCGAACTGAAAATAATTATCTGGCGTATTTAAGGAACAAGCGAATTGAAAAATTAGTGGGTATTCACCACGCAGCGCCAAATGAGGATGATCAAGAGAAAGTTAGTTGGGACGCGGCGAGCGATTATAAATATGTTCCTGTAAAACCCAACTTTTAGACCTCTTTGATAATGGTGGGTTTAGTTATAATTCTTCCATGTCCATGCAAAATGAGCCCTCTTATCCTCGCTAAAATGAAGTTCGATTTTTTTTTAACATGTAGTCGAGGCCAGACAGGATAACTTACTGGTTTATACAAAAAGAACACAACAAAAATCTTACATTTATACGGGATCACCTTCCTTTTAATTTTTTTTTTTTTTCAAAGAATTTTGAAGTTAATTTGCCATCAAAGTGTTTGAAATTGCAAAGATTTTTGAAAAAATATATTTGGGTCTATGATAAAATTGATGGATCTGAATACAGATTTAGAGACTATATAACAGGGATTATTTTTGAAGAGGATGGCTAATTAAAATGAATAATACAAATTTCCTGAGATACCACGTGTTTCTTTTCGACGAGGGTCTCCTGTAAGAAACAAACCTAAACGATTGGTTGGAACATTTTATGCGCACATGCTCTGCCCGCCAAACAGGCTCGATTACGGGCAGTTGTTCGAGAAATGAGCCTGTGATCAGCCATATCCATACCCCCACCCCACCCCTGAGGAGGGATCGAAGACCGGACTCGAGGAAATGACTTGGGTCGAGCCCACCCCAAAAGAAGCTGTTTATTGGCAACTTAGTTGAAAATGTGTGATAAGTGAATGGAACAGACAATT